TATTACTGCATATGCATGACTAAATGTAATCTATTTATATTACGATTACATTATAATTTCAAATCGATTCTCTTTAAAGCAAATGACCATTACATTTTATACTTATAAGTTTCTCAAAAACAGTATCAGAAAGTCTGCATTGTTCCAGTCTAAAAAAAATTCCCTCCTATACTGAATAATCGTTCCACTGAAGCAGATGAAGCTTGAATGCACATACATGTACCTGTACATGTACATTGAATACTTGTACAATAATGTATTACAATATGTACAATTACTATTATATTACTATTACTTAACTGTCTCCTACTATTACAATTACTATTACTTGGTTTTTTGATTCCTCCATTACTATTACTATTACAATTACTTCAAAACATGTAATCTTTACTATTACTATTACTATTATCTATTACTATTACCCCATGTCTGGTAGATACATTTCTTCCCTCTCTCTCTCTCCTAACCTGCTTGCGTACTTGAACCACTGACTGGTACGGTTGTAGGAAACAGGTTGTCATAGCAACAACACGTGACGTCTTTGACAATGACACCTACAAACAAAACATCTTAATCCTCTCTCTCTTCTCTCTCTCTCCCTTCCTCTCCCTTCCTCTCCCCCTCTCTCCCTCCCTCTCTCTCTCTCTCTTACATTCTTATTACTGTGTCTGATCCCATGGTGTCCAAGATAAGAAGGTGTATAATGGCGTGAGTATACATTGAGTATCTTATCAGCACTGACTAGTATAACATCTAGTGATGGAGGGAGGGAAGAGAAAAGAGGAACAAATATCTAAGTAAAAAGGGAGTACAAGGCATATATGCAGGTACAGGTAAGAGTTCATTTGTGGCAAAAACCATTTTAATGAGAACAAGGTCAATTCTGTAAACATTGACTGTATTACTAGTTACACGAAAATGTACATGTAGATCTACATATGTACTCTTAGTATTAGAGTATAGCAGTACCTGTTTGTCCATCACTTTCCAAATCAGTTACAATAGGTAAAGGACTGAATAAAGAATAATAATAAGTCATGACACCATTAAGAATTTTTCCTTACAGTTTTTCATTTCTAAGAGGGAATTTCTGATTTGCATAATTCTCTCTCGCCGCCCTTTCCTCAGTAGTTACGTTCAGTACTAGTTTAAACTCTAGGCTATCCTGTGATCTTAATAGGAACGCTAATACTGAACAAGATATGAAGAGAAACAGTATCTCTTGAAATGTGATCCATTTAAATACACCAGGACCATCCATTGCAGGGCACACGTGACAATACCACGCCCTTATAAAGTTGTTAATTTTTTTAAATTAATTAATAACAATAATACATGTAATCATAAAAGTATCTAAGAACTGTGATGTACATTGTACAGCTAACTAAGCATCTACTTTAATACTTATAATACTTATACTTGTCTTTTTTTAAAGTTAATTAACAGAAGAAAAACTTCTTATACTACTAAAACCACTGGATACTGAATGATACCCACTGGATGCACGACTGGATACTGTTCCAGATGAATATACACTAGCAGCATCTTCCTCAAATATTATATGACCTTTATTAGAAAATTCTTTGAGCAAAGTGGATATTTCCTCAGTTTTTGTGCAAGATAATGCAGTGCATCCTTTATTAGATTTAATGGTTGGATCAGCTTCCCATTTTAATAATAACTTAACTATTTCATATTGTCCATTAGCACTGGCAATCATCAAGGCAGTAACACCATCATTCTTTTGAACATTAGGATCAACTTGTTCCTTCAGTAACAGTTTAACTATTTGAGTGTGACCATTTTGACAAGCCACCATAAAAGCATTCCAACCATCATTCATTTGAACATTAGGATCAACTTGTTCCTTCAGCAACAGTTCAACTATTTGAGTGTGACCATTTTCACAAGCGAAAATAAAAGCATTCCCTCCATCATTATTTTGAATATTAGGATCAACTTGTTCCTTCAGCAACAGTCGAACTATTTGAGTGTGACCATTTTGACAAGCTGACATAAAAGCATTCCAACCATTTTTCTTTTGAACATTAGGATCAACTTGTTCTTTCAGCAACAGTTCAACTATTTGAATATGACCATTTTTACAAGCCAACATAAAAGCATTCTGGCCATTCTTTTTTTGAACATTAGGATCAACTTGTTTCTTTAGCAATAGTTCAACTATTTGAGTGTGACCATTTTGACAAGCTAACATAAAAGCATTCAAACCACTTTTTATTTGAACATTAGGATCAACTTGTTCCTTCAGCAATAGTTCAACTATTTGAGTGCGACCATTTTGACAAGCCACCATAAAAGCATTTGCTCCAGCATTCATTTGAACATTAGGATCAACTTGTTCCTTCAGCAATAGTTCAACTATTTGAGTGTGACCATTTTGACAAGCCACCATGAAAGCATTTGCTCCATCATTCATTTGAACATTAGGATCAACTTGTTCCTTTAGTAACAGTTCAACTATTTGAGTGTGACCATTTTGACAAGCCACCATGAAAGCATTTGCTCCATCATTCATTTGAACATTAGGATCAACTTGTTCCTTCAGCAACAGTTCAACCATTTGAGTATGACCATTTTCACAAGCCAACATAAAAGCATTCCAACCATTGTTTTTTTGAACGCTAGGATCAACTTGTTCCCTCAGTAATAGTTCAACTATTTGAGTGTGACCATTTTTACAAGCAACCATGAAAGCATTTGCTCCATCATTTATTTGAACATTAGGATCAACTCCTT